TTTTTTCCTTATCTGTGGGGACAACTCGAAGGGAGAAAGAACTTCCTCTCCCTTCAATCAGAAAAATGCCCCAATCATACAGAGTGCTTTCTTCTTTTCGAGTTTACAAACGCCTTGAATGAAAGGATGGAATTTGCTCCCTCGGATGATCCTTGCTCTGGGCTTCGTACTGCACTTCTAGTTTGTGAGCCCACCCCCTTGTATACTTCCGGGGTTTAATTGGTTCTTCGAGTGCTAATTTGGGTTGATCGGTTTGATCTTGCCTTCGGAGTTGCGTGCACACTTTGTCCACTGGGTTGCATTGATTTCCCTTGGAAAAAATTGATGTTTTTTTCTCTTTTCTGGCCGGGGAGGTGTTGTAGTAGCTTAGCTCTTTATTTTTTCCTCACCAAAGCTTGTACCTTCGATCTTCCATCTCTTTTGACTTCTTCTTCCATTCTATTTATTTATTTATTTATTGATTTTCTTTTTTCAAAAAAGTATCTTGAACAATATTTGAGCGCGACTTCCTCTCCCCTTCTTTCATCCCTTTCTTGTGGTTGAGATGCAAATTCCGCGGGGGAGATTTTGTGTGTTGCTAAAGAACTCGAACTAAAAATCAATCTTGGTGTCCAAAGGGGTTGTTTGTGATTGATAGCGACAAGTGAGGTTGCAATCAATCCCCGTCGGCATCAAGCCCCCCAACTTTTTGATCCCCACACACACATTGAAAGGTCTCTTGACAAGGCGAACACCCTCCAAGAACAAAGAAGTTCATGCACATCTGATCTCTTTTAAAATAATGTTTTGTCAACTTTTTTTCCGGGTTTTTTTCAAATGGGGCTTGGACAAACACATGAACTCCAGGTTAACAATCGGCAGTGTGTTTGTATCTGTAGAGGGTGGATTGACCACAAGCCCTTCCGTGTGCTGATGTGAGATGTCGAAGGATCACCAGAAGTTGATCTCAAAAAGAAAGGAAAAAAAGTAAGAAAAAGTAAAAAAGAAAGGTGGTGGAGGCTTTGACTATCTCACAGACATGTGATTTCAAGATTGCTCAGGGTGGTAAGCTTTCACTTACAATACGACTTTAGTCACCGTCCTGGGAACTGTGTCATGTCGCGATACCGAGACGAGCAAGCATATATACATGTCACTTAGTGGAACTGGAGTCAAAGAAAAGTCTATCCAAGGTATCCGGAGGGAATCTCAATAGAGGCTCGTCCAAATGAGTGAGTGCTTTGATCGCATGCCTCGAAAACCAGCATCAAACAGCAGTTTAGCGCGCGCACACACAAGAAAGCTTTTCTAGCATCAGCATTCTTTAAATATCATTTGCAAGTGTGATTATCTATGATTTGATGATGAGCCCTTCTCGTGGATCACCCCATTCACGTTGAGCCGGGGAGAAAAACTAAGAAAATTATATGAAACGAATGGGAATGATTCTGGGCGGTGCATGATGATCATCATCCCTGTGAGCACTGGACTAGGAGAGGGACCCCTCTTGAGAAATATATATAGGAACTCTAGAACTTCCTTTTTGCAAACTCCTCCAATTCCTTCCAATTGATGCTACAAGCTTACCATCTAGAAAGTTGCATCTACAAGAAGGAACAGCCCCTCCCCTTGGAAAGCGACGTCGGCGATTCCATCATCTCTGGACGAATCGCATATAAACAAACGAGAAAGTTCCCAAAGTTTTTATAAGAATCACAAGCCCACTGAATGCTCAATAATTTGCGTGCGTGGAAGCCATGGCCACCACTTTGAGAGAGATCTCGTAATGCTGCTCCCATTACCAAGCATATTACCAAGCGCGCTAATCACAAGATGAGGATGAATGGAAAGACTCTCGCAAAAGAGAGGATTTCGTGGAGAATTTCGAGGGGCTGTGGTTGGGAAAGTTTGGTCGGTTTTGTTAAGCGCGTGGAGGCCACCACACTTAAAACAATATAATCATCGAATCGAGCTATGCATTTGTGGAATCGATGCCACCCAATTATTTAAGTATGGAGAGAGGGAATCGATCTCGCGACCACCACTTGGAGCGCTCGTTTGTTGAATGCGCGTTAGTTCGTTCGTTCGTGTCCCCACAAAAGTTGTGTCCGGCCTGGCAACTCTCGGCTTTCCTCCGCGGGCAGCGCGGGCAGCCTTGATTCCCAGAGATTCCCAGACGAACGAAAGGAAAAAGGAGAAGGAAAACAACAAAGCCGGGATGGCGAAGAAAAGAGGTGTCGCCTTGTAAAAGCATTTGCACTGTGCACGTCCCTAGCCTACGATCATGAGCAAAAACAAACGAAAGGGGGAAGGAAAATCCACACGATATATCTACAAACACTTCAAGCTTTGAGCAGTGGCGAACCTTAGAGAAGAGAGAGAGAAAAAAAAAACTTTCGGTTTGGTGCTGCGACGATGAATCCGACGAGGAGGCAAGGATCCTCTCATTTGCGACAGGATGATAAGCCAAGGCCGCCGCAGAACATTGCGATGACAATGTAGAGCAAGAAGACGATGAGGCACGTCATGCAAGCCCTGCAAAGACAAAAGAGGAACGTCAGTGTTATATATGCTCAAAGCTAGAAAAAAGAGATGCGATGATCATCGGACCGAGAGCGAGAGCTATGGGTATAACTCACAAGAGTTTGGCGTTTTTCATCCACATTGCCTGCTGAAGGCGACGGGATTGTTTTTTGAAGCGGAAACTATTATCTTGCATCGTGGATGTCTTGTCCACCAGGAGCTCTATTCTGTCACCTCGTTCCAAGACTTTGTCAATGTTTTCGACCATAACTGATCGGACCTGGAACACCGCGAGCGACAGCCAGTGTGAGAAGAACCAAACAAAGAATGGATAGTTTCTTCTTTTTTTTTCTCCTCTCATGCCTACCTCGTTTAGATCGCCTTTGACCCGACTGATCGTGTCCGCCTCGGGGTTATTGGAAAAGTATTCCATCTGCTGGTGCAAAACTCTAGAAAACTCGTCGTTCATCGAGTATGCCAGAGCGGTGCGAGCAACTCGTCCATATGTCTTGATAAATCTCATGTGAATGTCTTCCAGATAAGCGAAAGGAATTCGTCCTGATCGACAAAAAAGAAAAGAAAGAACAAGTGTGTGAGACTAGAAAACTATAGAGCTCCAAAAGAAAGGAAGAAAAAATCTTCACTCACTCACTTCCAAACGTATCTGTTGCCATGCAAAGAAAAGTGAGACCATCGGCCTTCATGATGTGGAAAATGTGGCGATCCTGCGAATAGGAGAGGCGGCTATCGCTGGAAGCCGGCAGCTTCTCGATAATCCGCCGGGCGATGGTGGTAGCATTCCCTGTGACAGCACTAAACTCGGCGAGCACGACCGATCCTCTAGCGACGAGCGCGTACAAGATCGTCATCGCCCTACCGCCTGCCGCTGCTACCGCTGCTCCTGCTGCTAGACCTAGAGATTGCTTACTGGGAGGAGAGGATCCACCGCGCAAAGCTCGATCGATTTCTCGTTTCGAAGAACCCTAGCCTAGGAATCGACGGCTAGAATTAAAAATGTCATCTAACGGTGGTGATAGAACCCCAAGGACACGCTAGTTAGCGATGGCGTCCTCGTCGCAAATATTTCGAGCCGGAGCTGGAGATCCAGTGGCACTTCGATCCAAGGCAAGATCATCGATCGTCTGCTCCTCTTCTACCAGGCAAGCGACGCTGAATCGCGCTCTTGATCGAGCTTCTAGGTTTGTTTGATCTCCAGCGTGACGATGCCGCCTATAGCTCGGAAATTTCTTCGCTCCCTGGTCACGCCATACCTGAAGAAGAATGTCACTGCTTCGTCGGCGCTGGAGCTGGTTCGATCGAATTCCGGGGGAGCTGTGAAGTTCGATCATTTCGCATTCCGGACGTTTGGGGTAAAACTCTCGCCCATTCGTGAAAAATCCTTTCATTTTTGTCTGGCATTTTGGTGTTTGTCTCCAAGGTGGATGGATTTGGAATCGACTCTATTGCTCAGCTCTTCCTCGATCTCGGCTATGAATGCCGTGACGAGCTTCGTTTTCCAGCGAAGACGCTACGAGCATTCTGGTATGCACCACCTCTGGATTTTCTTGACATTGAAGGAGACGGTGTTGATGGCGCATTGCCACGGATTTTTATTTCCGAGCTTCTAGTGAATCAACTCAGCTCCGAGTCGCAGGTAAACAAGAAAGTTTTTGATGCGGTTGGTTGAATTTTTCAACGCAGGAAGTCATCAAAACATACACAGGCCGTGCGAGAGCTCTGTCGAAACATGCTCCATTAACTAGCGTGCTAGATTGCCTGCCTTGGGAAAATCCATCAGTGGCGGACTACGAACGTCTTGCACGGTACAGAATTTTTCTAATCGAATGTTTTATACTAGCTGATACTTTGTTGCAGGGAGAGCGAGTATGCTGCCTGGACTCTTGCCAACGGATATGCTCTGAACCATCTTACAATCTCCGTGCATCGCTTAAACTCCGAGCTGAAGGATATAAACAAGCTAAACGAGTTCCTCCAAAGCAACGGTATAAAACTAAACAAAGATGGAGGAATTCTCAAGGGTACGTTGCGCATGCAGTTTCTAGTCAGGCTGTCTATAAATGTATTTCTCTGTGAATCCTCCAGTTAGTCCTGATAGGGGCTTGCTTCAAAGCTCGACGGTGGCTGATTTGGTTCCTTGTACTTTCTCTGATGGCGAGATTGAGACTCCTGCCTCCTATATCGAGTTTGCACAGCGCCTTGTGCTGCCTGCTTTTCAAAATCTCGGGCCCGATCAGGTACTCCATCTTTTCGCTTTTCCTGACATTGATAGCTGTTTGGACAGCTCAAAGAATGGCATAGGAGGGACGGCTTTGAGGTTGGCAATGCTGACAAGATCTTTGAAAGTACTTCGTCACTTCAAACTGGCGCCCTGAAACAAAGCGCCTAACTACATATCCTTTCAAGGTTTACTTATTTTATCAGTATGGTTTTTTTTACAGCTCACACGCAAGATCCGGTTTGTACATACGCTTATATAAAGTTTATATCTCTATCAAAAACTGGTTCTTATCCGCCGGAGAAACATATATGCAGACACTCGATACAGTATGGCCATTGCGATGAGGATACAAGCCTCTTTGACACCTCCGTTCAGATCTACTCCATAAAAGGCCGAGGAAGTTCCAAGTCTTTGACAACCTCTGGCGTCCTTGCAGTCATACTTCTGCTCTGGTGAATACTGGGTTTTTAAAAGGAGCCGGTACCCATAGAAAATGAAGGAGACGTATTTAATCCACTTCATGAACACGGGCATGTGCTGGTGAGCAACAGCAGGTTCTAGACGCTGTCAACGCAAAATTTAAATGGACTTACCTGAACGTAGTAGCCTCCAACGAGCAGGAAAAGAAGCAGCACTAAAGATGCAACAGTTCCAGATTTCTTGACGTCCATTACAGCAGCTCCCAAGAGATCACCGGCTCCCTATTGACAAAAAAAAAAAAAACGTGGAAGCTATGATAACACGCACGAGAAGCTCACCTGGGATGCAACCGTTAACAAGTAAGTGGACAGCAGCGTGAGCATAAAACTCTCTAGGCTGCGATGAAGGCCTGTCATGAAGTACACTATTATGACGAAGATGGTGGGATATATAATCTCTGCTATGATGTCCGAAATGGTGCTGCTTGCGTAGAAGGCGCTTAAGCTGTACATGTCCGCCCCGAGCTCTTTGATAAGAAAGGGTCTCTCCAGAGGGAACGTGGATACCGAGCTGAAGAGCCCGGAAGTGGACCAGAAGATGGCGATATAGAATATAAGTCCGGCCTGACAGGCAGCAGGGAAAGAAACGGGAAATCAGTTCTGGACGAGCAACTTTCTGCCTATATACCTGGTCTCGAACGTCGATTTCGGTATCGAGCTTTGATTGCCACCACAGCAAGCCGAGAACTATGGATACTCCAATGACTTGAATGAAGCGGATGTAGTCGAAGTAATCTCTAGCTCGCTCCTTGAATGTTCTTTTAAACAGCACTTTAAACTGAAGTGGCCAGGATGATGAGAAGTCGTGTTTGGCTTGGATCATCTCCTTGAGATTGTTCGAAACCTTCAAGGTACATATCTTCTGCTTCTCCTTTGGCTCCAGTTCTGTTTTGTATTTCATTCTTAGGTGCTGTGCTTTTGCAGGAAACATGTCGGTCCATCAGCGTACATGAGAAGCAGAGAACTTACCTGGACAATAATTCGCTGACTGTCTTCGGGATGTCTTGGGATCGATGTTGCGTGCTGATACGTTGGAGCTACGGTGTGGCAGAATATCTCCGAGTCCAAGACGTTGATCACTCTTGCACCAGCATTATCTAGCTTTTCCTCCTCTGGACTGCGGTTAGTTATATCTTCGGGGATGCTGATATCATGCACCACTCCTACAGCCAAATCCAACAGGAAATCCGCCGGGTTCATAGTTATCTCTGGTACAAAGTGCAGCGAAGAAAAGTAACTCATCACTTCCCTGGCAGGACCCGAGTAAATAGTGTGGCCCTCAGATATCAATATCAGCTTGTCAAACATGTGAAACAGCCTGCTCGATGGCTGGTGGATCGTGGTAAGGATTGTTCTTCCTGCCTTTAGAACAAGTAAAACTTTAGATCTTCTGATCATAATAGCGAAGGAACTTACTTGTGCTATGTTCCCAACAACTTGCAGGATTTTCAAAGCTGTGGCAGAATCCAGTCCTGATGTTGGCTCGTCCAAAAGCAGCAATGATGGATCAATCAGTATTTCCGATCCTATACTGGTCCTCTTTCTTTCGCCCCCAGATACTCCAGGAATGAATGGACCTCCTATGATGGTGTGCCGGCACCTTTCCAAAGCGCACTAGTCAGCTTCAAATACAGGAGTAGCACGCACCTTTCCAAGCCAAGATCTTTGAGAACTCTATCAGCTTTGGACATCTTCTGCGAGCGGGTCATCGTGTTTGGAAGACGCAACAAGGCAGTGAACTCGAGACATTCCTGGACTGTGAGGTATGGGAAGAGGATGTCCTCCTGCGCGACGAAGCCAATTCTGTGCAAAACCGTCGACGTTCTCAGTGGGAAAGAAAGAAAACTCGCGAGCCAACCTCTTCTTCATGAAGGAACCGTATGGAACATCATTAAAGGTGACACTCCCGGACACATCTCTGAGCAAGCGACCGCCTAGAATCTTCAGCAAGGTGGTCTTCCCGCTGCCGGACGGTCCCATCATGGCCAGGATTTCTCCTGGAGCGACAGAGCCGGTGATTCCATGCAGGATATATTTGTGGTGACCGTTGCTGCTGGTTTTACCGCCGGGGGACTGAGATGGAGCGGGAAGCAGGACTTTATATTCCACATTTTGGAACTGCGAAGAGCGATAGTGGTTTAGAAGAATGACAATGAGCAAGTGGAACGTGGATTTACCTTCAAGAAGACTCGGACAGGTGCTTCGACCTCCGTGTTGAGCTTCGCGTGCTGGCTGGCTGTGTCGTCCTCGGACGCCGCATCTTCTCCAGGAGCTCCAAAGGAAGGTGGCGCGAGTGATCTAAGCTGAGCGGCCCTGGAGCTGCCGATGGTATTTCTCTCAGGGATGGATTCGAAACACGCGACTCGGTGCTGCTGAGACGAGTCAACTTCCGCTCGATCAAACTCCGGGTTCTCGTACAGGTGGAACTTGGAGGAGAGGCCAGCCATCTCCGCTGCTACGGTGCTGCTGTTGCTGCTGCTGCTCGCGCTTTCCATCATCCTCTTCCTTCCTCAGAGCGAAGTAAGCGTTTCTTGTCTTGGTTTTCTTTTCCTTCCTTCTTCCTCACATAGTTCTATTATTTGACTCCGTCGATGCAGTACAGGGTAAAGATGCTTCTGCTCCTGCTGCTGCTTCTGCCCCTGCTCGTGCTCCCGTTTGTGCCGCTGCCGCATTCCGTTTTCCTGGATTTGGTTCGTTCCGCAAGGATCCACAACAAACCAGAGAAGGTGGTGCGTCACTTAATCTCGATTTCTGTGGCGCTCTTAGCAACTTCTAACACATTTTTGCAGCTCATGCGCTTGGCGTTCACACCACACAAAGCGTGCGGCTCACCTTTTCCTCTTTGTACAACGAGGCGACATAAAAAGAAACCGACTCAACAGCGTTTAATCGAGATTGACAACCATGCCAAGGCTGTTCGCGGCACAAAGATGGTGAGAGTTCAGCGCAACTAAGAACCAAAAAGAAGCAAAAAGAGAGAAGAGGGTCGCTCTCTTCGCCGGACACAGGGAATAAAGGTAGGCTCATTCGCTAGTCCTCTATAATATTCTTGTCATCACCATCTTTTCTTTACAGGACCTTGCGTCTCTCAAGAAGCGTACCTACATCCTGTATAATATCAAAAACGATTGCACAAAAATCTTCCACCGGCCAGTGACTTCACCAGTCAGCGGGGACAAGGCTCTTTTTTTCCTTTCACCAGAGTGGAACGAGCGAAAGAGCTGATCGATCAATCGCATGGCTTGGGCTGGAGGACCCTCTTCATGAACTCGTACGTCATGAAAACGATCCCCACGCTCGGTATGACTTTGAAATACTCTGGCATGATCCCCCTATACAGGCCCCGCAGCCCCTCGCTACGGAGTATGTGCTTGAGCGTCCCCATCAGGCCCGACTTGTACACGCGAGCCTGGCCGGCCGCGCCTTCCAGCTGCATTCTTCTTCGAATCAGATCAAGAGGAAACGTTGCTGCAAAAAGAAAAAGGCGAAGAAAAATACCAAGTGTTGTTTTTAACTTCCATTTCAGTCTGTAACATACCTGTGCTCGAGCAAATCCCGGCGACGCTCCCGCAACACAAGCTCGTGATTATGTTGGGCGAGTTGGGACTGCATCCATAGATTTGTTCTTTTTGTCAGGAACTATAATAGAAGAAAACCAACACTACCTCTGTGCCACCCAGATGCTCTTCAGTGTTTCATACGCGCAGAAATTGATGGCGATGTTTGGTCCTACGCACTGTAACGAGAAAAAAGAGTTTGTTCTTAGTACAGAGATCGAGAGAAAGTAATAAGAAAACTCTTAAGTGGCTCACCAGTAGCGTGGGACCAATCCCCTTGTAGAGACCCTTGAAGCCCTCCTCTTGTGATATAGTTACAAGGGCATGGACGATGCCGCGGTAGTACATTACTTTTGTCTGCAGCCATTTCCGAAATAACAGGTCATTCCACCTGCCAATGAGTGTATCACAGATATTCAGGAACTCTCATTCCAGCTAAAGGTGATGCCTTTCAACTTTACAACACTAGAACGTCTCTTCTAGCAGGCAGCAATGAAGAAAAGGAATGAAACTAAGTTACAAAACGATGGTTTTGAGAGGAAGATCTCGCTTACCTGTGCTGCCAAGCGCGTCCTCACAAGATCCAGGGGATACGTGAGAGACGCCGCGGTTAACCCCGCCCCGCCGCCAGCCAAGAGCCTCGTCCCCATCCCAACGCCCAAGCTCTCCGGACGGTTTTCTGCTCCAGACATCCTCGTGAGAAACTGGAAATTTTGGAGCGTTAATCTTCTCCTTTGGTCTAGCAGCAAGTACGAGAAAAATGGATAAACCTCCGAGGGGATGGCAGACTTACAAGCTTGTAGTTCTCGTAGGAGAAAAAATTGATAGCCGAGTAGGGGAGGCGATGCACGACCGTCACCCCGTTGCCCTTCCAAAACGCTCTAAACCCCTCCTCTCTAAAAATCCGCGACGCCTCGCGCAGCATGCTTGCTTGCTCCAAGGCATGGTTCGTTCGCATGCCTTGCACCTGGATGATTCGTGGCGTGAGAAACCAAGAAAAAAAAAGAGAAAAATACCTGGAACAAAATCGTGAGGCGAGCGAGCGGAGCTGTGCACGTCTTGCTCACCGCGCCCGCGACGCCACCAGAGATGAGCTGCGACGCGGTGCCAATCTGCGATGGCCGCACGACCTCGCGCATTGTCTGCTCCACGGGCTCCTCGGGGGCGATGCTGCTGCTGCTGCCGCCATCGCCCACGCCGGCCCGTGCGAGAACTCGCTGCCCTACCCCCGCCATTCTCCCCGCCGTCGTCGTCGATCCCGCCTGGAGCCTTGCATCTGTTGTGGTCCTCGGCGCCGACGCCTCCGCTTGCATTCCCTGGAAGCTAAGCCCTAGATCTCACGCCATGCCTCGCATTCCTTCCCTCCCGGCCCCGCGATCCAAGACGAGCTCGACGAGCAAAACTAGGGTAAATGGATCTAAGAAAAATAGAATAATGCCCAAGTGATCTAGTAAAGTAGCACTAAAAAGGTGTCTGTTGACAGTGGGATTCGAACCCACGCCCTTGCGGACCAGAACCTTAATCTGGCGCCTTAGACCAACTCGGCCATGTCAACTTTGCTTAAGCAGGTTAGTTGTTTGAAGATGGAAAGGGTTAAATGGATCATGGAAGCGTTCTTGCGATGCGGTCCAAAACGCTCGCGAGACCGCTAGGATTCGAGAAGAAGGGTGTGTGATCCGAGGAGATCCTGAAGACACCGATCGGGGGAGTGGTACGTATGAGCAAATCTTGGTCCTGGGGCAGCACGACATTGTCGTGATCGGTCTTGATGAAGTAGCGCGGGACGCTGCCGTAGCGCGCCTGCGTGAAATTCACGGCGGGATCCAGCACTGGCACGGGCTTGAGGAGGGATTTCGCCAGCTCCACGTTCTGCGCATCGATCGATCATATCGATTGGATGGAATCCAGGAAATATTTCGGGGTTTCTTGGAAGATGGGGGTTTGGTTTCGTCCTACCTCAGGCGGCGAGAGATTGTAGAGGAGATTTTGGACGAGATCGAGCTGGAATGGGATTGCCAGAGGCACGGTTCCTGCAGGGCCGGGCAGTGGCAGTCTTCCCTGGAGCTGCGAATTCGCACAAGCATTGAGGAATTCTTTTCTAGCGATCGATCGATTGACGAACCTGGTTGTTGAGCGCGGTGCCAGCGCGTCCACTGGGAAGCATCAGCCCCGCGACGTAGATCGCTGCAACAATCTTTTCCGGGAATTTCTCCAGCGCGTACGTGAGGCTCGCGCCTCCAAGGCTGTGCCCGACCAGCACGACCTGAAGTATACAGGAAATCCAATAGCGTGAGTGATCAATCCGAACAGGATGAACTACCGTGCCGTTGTGAGGCAGCTGCTCCAGGAAATCCACCAGTGGAGACGTATATCTGACAAGAGTTCCAACCCTGGTGGGATCGAAGCTGCTGATCCCGGCGCTCAAGAGATCGATGGCGTCCACCTTGTGTCCGGCCTTATGGAGGAGGTTTGTGACTTTGTACCAGCACCAAGCGCCATGCCCGGCTCCATGGACGAGAACAAAGTGGTGTTGGCGATGATCATCCGACGCTTCGGTTCTAAGCAGTAGTAGCGAGGAGAGGAATCCAGTGACGACGATCTTTATCAGCAACATCGTTTGAAAGGTTTTGGAGCGCCAGCAGCATTAACTTTGGTGGCGATAGATCGATTGATGGAAAGATCGGTACACCGAGGTTTTTGGTGCTCGAGTGAATTTATGTCGGGGGATGCATGTGTTCCGTATGGCTAAAATTAAAAGCGAATCTCTTCGCGAGGGGAATAGTTTCGGTCGTGCAATGCACGTCGGCCGCTCAGCAATTGGATGAATTCTTCTGGAACAAGTGATCTGATGTGAGCCAGGGAGGAGCTCCCATTACGCTGGACGCATTCAAGGTTCCTGTCAAGCAACAGTTCAATAGCGTGTCCCGCGACCGAGCAAGAGACAACTTACATCCTCCAGGACCTGATATTTAAATAATTGCAAATACGTGCCATTTGGCCGAGCTCACGCGCTTACTTGAGACAAAATCTCCCACGTCAAAGCTCCTGTTAATGAAGTTTCGGCGACGTCCTTCCACGAGATTAGTTTTTTCATGTCAGTTCACGAAAGGATGACGAGTAGAACCTGGCTCGCGAAGAGTGGAAGAATTAAAAAAAAGCTTTCTTTTAGTCATTTTTTCTCGGTGATCTGGCCTCACTGCTGTGGAGAATCAAGTACTCCACGCCTCTAATTCCCTTGTCCAACTTCACAATGCAATTCGCAAAACAAAAAGTTTTATACACAAAATAAGTATACTTTTTTTTTGGATGACGGTCACAAGCCTCTGGGAGAAGAACTTGAGCTAGCATCATTTGTCTCCGCCCGGGAAAAACTCTGTGTTTCTTTCAAGCTCGCGCAAAAAAGTCGGGGGCAACCAGATCTATCGAATAAGATAAAAAACGTCCTTGCCTGAGCACAAAGAACTCTTCCCTTTTTTTATGCCACTATGATGTGGAAGCTCTTCGTATGAAGAAGTTCGAGCGTACTCACCGGCCTCTAGCAACGAAGAATTTGGTTTCTAAGACTTCCGCAAAGTTTCTACATGACCAAGCATCCACGATTGAAGTGGATGATTCGTGGTGTAAGACAAAAAAAGAAAAAGAGATCTCTCGACACAGTTGAGAGAGGAATGCATCAAATTCAAATACGTTAGTTTTCTAAACTACCTTAAATCAATAGTTCAATAAAGAAGTTTATGTGCTTGGCTCAATGTTTTCTGAAAGCTTCTATTGGAAGAGATTTCGTGAGAATATCGACCATCATTTCACTTGCTCCTTTGTAAAGTGATGCATCTCAATGTGCTTTGTTCTAGCATGAAAGACCAGATTTTCAATTATGGCTAAAGCTGAAGTATTGTTGTAGACAATTGTAGGATGGAAGTCCCATGTTTGCTAGAAGTCTTCTCAACCAAATTACTTTTTTTGTGGCTGAGGTAATTGCATTGTATCCATCTTCACATGTTAAGAGAACAACTGTCTTTTGTTTCTTGCATGCCCAAGAGACAGCACCATCCACTTTTAGACTTTCAATCCTCCTAAGTCATTGGTATAGCCGATGACTTCAGAAGCTTTAAGACCAGAGTAAACAATCCCAATTTGGATGTACCTCGAAAATAGTTTAGAATTTTTGCTGCATACTAGTGTTTTTGTCTTGGATTATTTAGGAAAAGACTCACATTTACAATACTAGTAGTAATATTTGGCCTACTTGCGGCAAGATATATGATAAATCCTACAAAATGTTGGTAAGGCTTGTCTGCCATCCACCATTTCTCCCCCTCAATGCATTGAAGATTTGCTTTAGATAGTTTATCATCAGTGGATATAGATTGGTGTTTGCACATTTGAATAGCATGCAATAATGCCAGTAGTATATTTCTCTTGAAAGAGAACTGATTTACAAAGAGAATGATCACATTTAATTTATAATCCAAAGCAATACAATAATTCACCAAGATCTGTCATTTTTTATTGTTTGGTGAAGCATAAATCTGTGCTTAGTAGATGCAGTTATTAAGTCATTTATATTATTCCAATCTATTTCAGTATGAGTAAAGCCTATGAATTGCATGGTTTTGGGTTTTTTTAAGCCCCTAAGGTTGAGAGCCAAACTCATTGAGAGCATTGAGCCAAAAGGTCATTTGTGTGACTCATTTTAAGTATTAATATCAACACCAGCCAGCCAAAATTGAAGGCAACCTGTTTCATATATTTTGGAGTGGAGTGCTCACTAACAAATAAATGAGAGTGGAAAATGATAAGAAAATGAGAGAGAACTTGCTTGCACCCAGGAGCTAGTGGCATGAGAGCATCCCAAGAAATAGCAAGCCATTGAAAGCTTTTGGGCACCAAGATTCTGCATGGTGCTTACATGAGAGTCACCCATGAAAGCTCTAGAGAACTCAAGGATGGAGGTGGTGAGTATGGTTTGGTGGACAGTGAGATATAGTGGTATGTTAATCTTAATTCTGGAAATCTAAGGCCATTTAAGGTTAATCATAGATTAAATATTTTACTAGATAACTTAGTTAGTGATTTTTCTTAGGTCTAGTTTGTTTGTCACTTGTCTTGGATCATGTGGAGACATGGTATGAGATCCAGGGAATACAAGTAGAGGTATTAACATTAAGGACCATAACAAATGTAAAGCTCTAGGTGGGAAATATAATGTTGACAATGAAATAAGCAAATTCTCAAATGGGCCAGTATAAATGATAATGTTAATAATAGTATTCTTATTTAGGGGCCCTTTCCCTTTATCTTTAAATTTTAATAAAATTTTTCTCAAGCTGTTCTTTTTAATTGCTTACATGTTGCTAACACAGCTAACAAGGCAGTTATTTGCCTAATGATTTTTTTTTAGGTATGGTGTAAATTGAATTAGCCTTGATCTAATAGAGTTTAGCGTGAGCAAATTTGTGAGATTTTGAAATTATATTTTCCATGATTTTGATCTAGAACATTGATTTTAATATTTTAGAAATACTTATTAAATCAAGGCTCAAGTTTTGTGTTAAAAGAAATATAATTATACTCTTTTGGGTATTAAATACTATATTATAGTATATATAATAGTATAATATAGTGCCATTTATTCATTACTTGCATATCAATCCAGTCAGAGGCAAAAATTGTGGGATGGGATGAATATGTTAATGCAAGGTAAAGAAAACATTTATTTCTTGTTTCCTTCTTCCTTTAAGAAAAGTATAAAAGATTTAATAATTATGCTTTGGTTGAGGAATTTCTTATAGGTAACTAATGAGTCCTAATGTAGGGGCTCTTGCTTGGGCCTTTGCTACTAGAGGCACTAGAATTTAGAGCATAACCACCACAACAAACAACTCTTATATCAGGTAATAATAATGGAAACTTTTGAGTGTAGTAGGATTATAAGAAAGAGGATATAGTGAATTGATCAACTTGTTTGATCACTTGTTAGAATGACATAAATTATCTACAAAAAACACTTTTACAAGAAGGAATGAAAGTATTAGCTATTTGACATATCAGTACTCATAAACACTACTAACTAAAACTATCTATCTATAAATAAATGAAATGATGTTACTTTTATTTTTTTGCAGTCATTCAATCATTCATAAATCCAATGTTTGGCATGATATATTCCTTCTTATAGTGGATAACAACATAAAGTTCTTAAAGGTATGCAGTTGTTTGTGGGGCTATTTATACTTGCTAGCACTACTCTTACACTCTTATTAGGAGGTTTTCTTTCTACTATTTCTCTTTACTATTACTAATTTGTGATTTTTGCATAATCTTCCTTGTGGCTAGTGTTCCTACTAATGCCATTAGTAGGACTTGCACAAACAACTATAGTGGGAGCAACACCTCTATATCCATGTGGACCACCTCTACCAATACCAATACTCCTTTGCCATGCAATCTCTAAATCCAAAGTCTTCACATCTACAATAGTACCATAAAATGTTGTGAAGTGTTATAAAATGTTGTTGTAAAGTAATGGTAGCAACACCTCCAAAATTAAATGAGTATGCATCCATACATATACATATTATTATTTTCAACTTCTTAATATTGATTTTATCTAGGAATACAAGCATCAAAATTTTGTATGATATCTTCCCTAGCTTTACCTTTATGTTTATTTATGTGTTGTATGACAATAACCCTAAGATTTCAACCCCAAAAGGATGCTATGGCTTTTTGGTTTGCTCCTCTATCACCACTACCACCACCAAAAGTTTTGCTAGTTGCAATGCTGAGAACAAGTGAAATGCTATAAAAAAGTAAGAAAGAAAGAAGTTAAAACTCAAGTAAAGTTAATTTCCTTCGAATGTAAAATACTTACCATCCTCCACCAGTTTCATATCTAATGTTGCTAGCATTTTTTCTTGATTGAACCTCATATTTACTTTCTATTCTTGATATACTAAATGAATTATCATCATTCTAGATCACACCCTCCTATTGATATTTGGACTAAAAATGCCTTTTGATTGATTAATCTTTAGGATCTTTGCCATTTACATTTGATGGAAATTGATTTTCTGGCGTGCATATAAAAACAAACTATAGTGTTTTGAGCAAAGTTAAAACTACAAATTTTACTTGTTATAATCATCCATTTTTGTAAAGTGGCAATTGTTTTTCATATTTCAACATTGCTCATTGAAATAGATATAGACTAACTTATAATTGCAATCCATTTACAATTAGTTACTAAAGATATAGTGTATAAAGTTTTGTGAGTTGGAAACCCCTCTCAGCAACTCCATAAAACAAAAAAATTGGTCTTTAACTGTAAGAAAATGAAAGAAGCCATTTACTATTATTTGAAAAGGTTTGTTATAGGATAGCCATTGCCATCTTTTTAAGTAAAGAGGCTTGTTTTCCATCACCAAATGTGCTCTAAACTATATGTGGCTCAACTTGTGTCTTCATTTAGATCTTCCAATTAGTAACTTCCTAATTTATATCCCATTTTTATTTCTATTATCCCATCTGATATATGTAGGAATTGTAGGTTTATAAAACTTGTGTGTTAGTCACATTAATGCTTATGCTAATCCAGATTGCTGAATCCAAAAACTGAATATCCTTGGGATTTTTAGAATGTAAAAGATGTGTAGTCATATAAAATTCTCTAACATATTTTTTACAGCACATTTTAAAGTGTTTTGAAAGCTTCAAAACATTTTCTTTAGTCAACTACTTTAAATTTAGTCATATATTCTGAAAAAAGCTGTAAAAGGGTATAGACTGTGAGTGAAACACTAAGAGCCAAAGGCATCAAACAAAAGAGATAGAAAGTAATCATTTTACCACTAAATATTATGTTTCTTATATAATCCCTATAATAGGTCCCTTGCAATCCAACAACTTGGATGCCACTATTTATTATTTTCTAAAGTGCATCATTATTCATAACACTTTAAACTCTTACCATATTTAGAGTTTTAGTTTGGGATTTAGAGTTTGTTAATTTACACTCCCATTCTCTGAATTCAAGCCTGTTGA